TTGTTTTTGTCTTGTTTGTTTGTTGCTTTCAGTTTTATATTCCACATGTGAGTGAAATCATATGGTTCTCAACTTTTTCTGTTGGACTTATTTCGCTTATCATGATATTCTCAAGATCCACCTATGTTGTAACAAATGGCAGTATTTCATCTTTTTATGGCTGAGTACTATTCCATTGTATATATATGTACGTCTTCTTGATCTAATCATCTATTGAAGGACACCTTTGTTTCCATGTCTTGACTACTGCGAATAATGCTGCCATGAATATAGGGGTACAAATGTCTTTACAAATAAATGTTTTCAAATTTTCAGATAGATATCCAGAAGAGGGATTGCTGAATCATATGGTAATTCTACTCTTAATTTTCTGAGAAAGCTCCATACTGTTTAAAGTCTTACTCTTTCTGTCAGAAAGCTTCCATTCAATTTAAAAGAGTATCTATTTTCTCTGGAAGAAATTTTTTATCCCTTTAAGACCTTACGAGTCACCACGAGTTAATTCCAAAGACCCTGCCACATAACTGTGGGGTTGAGGTGTGTGTTAGTAATTAGTGAACTGAGAAATGAGACAGAGAAAAATCAAAGTATGAACTGCTTGAGCTGTCGAGCAAATTGGAAAACAAGGATTCACCTGTAGCACATTTGGTTCACCCTCTGAGTTACAGACAAAGTTGAACAATCCTGGAACTCATAAAAAATTCCAGCTGTATTTCTTTTTTTAAAAATTAAATTTATTAAGGCAATAGTTTATAAAATTATATAGATTTTAAGTGTACAGTTTCAGCTATTTTCCTATGTAGTAACTATAACATGGCCCACAGGAGTTATGACTTTTTTTTTTGATGCCTGTTACCCAAACTCTTCCTATTTCTGATAATTCTCCACTATGTGAAACTGAGCGGAAAGCAAAGAACTTCAGAAAATCAAATCTAAAGAATTAAGGAAAGTATGAGAATAGTGTCTCGCCAAATAGAGAAATCAATAAAGATATAGATTAAAAAAAATAGAAATTTTATAGTTTAAAAAAAACAAATAGAAATTATATGTGGACAATAAAACTGAAAGCAACAAACAAACAAAAACTCATAGACACAACAGTTTAGTGGTCGCCAGAAGGAAAGGGGAAAAGTAAAAGGGGGTTAAATATCTGGTGACAGAAGGAAATTTGACTTTAAGTGGTGAAAAAACAATGTAACCTACATATGATGGATTATTGAATTGTATACTTGAAACCTATATAATTTTATTAACCAATGTCACCCCGATTACTTGAATTAAAAAAAAATAGAAACTCTTGATTTGAAAAGAAAAACAAAATACTCACTAATGTGAATCAATAGCAGATTTAAACTGGCAGGGATAAAGTAAGTGAATGTTAAGACAGGTCAGTTGAGAATATCCAGCCTGAGAAACGGGAATAAAAAAGAATGAAGAAAAATAAACAGTCTCAGAGGATAGCGGGATACTACAAGAATATTAACATATTCCTAATGGGAGTCCAAAAAGGAGAGAGAGAAAGGGACAGAAAGCATATTTGAAGAAATAAATGGCCCAAAACTTCCCAAATTTGAGGAAAGGAATGGATATACATATAGTTTTAAAATTTTTAACATAGTAAGAATCAAAATATTAGCAGATTTGTACAATAATGAATTCATAGCATTTATATACAAATAAGTTATTAATACTATTGTCTTTTTTGGTAATTGAAAGTTAAAAATTAAATGTTATAATTTTATTTAAGTGAACTAAAATATGCCTTTATCATTCTTTTCTTTTTCCTATATTGTGTCATTTTTCTTTATTAAAATTGTCATATAAATATTTATTTTTAGATATGACTTATTAATACGGAAATTTTGCTAGGAAAATGAATTCCCATGTAACAGCATAGGATTTCATTACAACCAAAAACAAAGAATGAATAATAAATCTACACTCAAGAAACTTTGGAAGTATTTTCATAAAGTTTAATTTTGAAAATATAACATCTATTGCTTTTGCATATGTAAAAAGATAATGTGAAATAGGATTTTTGAAAACCAAACATACACGAGACATATAATATATATTATATATATTTACTAAGTCAAATATTTATATTAAGAATGTGACCTCGGGCACAAAAATAATTGTTTTAGATGCTACTCTAACAATAGACTTATCACATGTACATCTTAACTAATTTCTCCTTCTGTAGGTATGTGGGTTTAACGAGTTTCTCATAAATGATGTATGTGTGTGCATATGCTTATACATACATGTGAGTGTACATGTTCATGTGGGAGTGTGAGTGAATATATTTACTAAGAAGAATTTAACAAATAAGAATTATGTATTAATAGGTGATTCTTCTGAACCTATTATTCCTAGGTGTCATATTTTTTAAGACTCTTTTTTTGTAGGATTAATTAATAACTGGAGAAATTACCACATGGAATTAGAAATGTCATGGCTAGAATGGTAAATATTGTCCCTAGACAGATCTGAGTTGTCTAAAACTGTCTTACTGTTGCTTTTATGTAATTAAAATATGACTCCTATGGAAGACTTTGCCTTCCCTACTGCCTTTTTAAAGGCACTCATGACCTCTTTGTTCCTCAGGCTGTAGACCAAGGGGTTCAGCATGGGGATGACCATGGTGTAGAACACGGAGGCCACTTTGTCTGTGTCCATGGAATGGCTGGAGCTGGGCTGTAAGTACATGAAGATGCCTGTCCCATAAAATATGGAGACTGCAGTGAGGTGGGAGGTGCAGGTGGAAAAGGCCTTTTGGCGTCCCTCGGCTGAGTTCATCTTCAGAATGGTGATAAATATAAACAGGTAGGAGATCAAGATGACCAGGATGGAAAAGAGGTCATTGAACCCCACCACCAAGAAAATAACCATCTCACTGATGTGGTTGTCTGAGCATGAGAGGGCGAGGAGAGGAGGGGCATCACAGAAAAAGTGATCGAGCACATTGGACCTGCAGAAGGAGAGCCTGAAAATGTTCCCAGTGTGGATGGAAGCATTCAGGAAGCCACAGACGTAGGAGCCTATGACCAGACGAGCACACACACCTGTCGTCATGGTGGTGGTGTAATGCAGGGGTTTACATACTGCTGCGTAGCGGTCATAAGCCATTGAGGCCAAGAGGAAGTTTTCTACAGTGATAAAAGCTGCAAAGAAGAAGAACTGGGAGACACAAGTATTGTAGGGGATGATTTTGTCTCCTGTGAGGAGTCCTGCCATCACTTTGGGAGTGACAGCGGAGGAATAACCAAAGTCCACCAGGGAGAGGTTACTGAGGAAAAAGTACATGGGAGTGTGCAGGCGAGAGTCCAACAGAATCAGCTCGATCATGCCCAGGTTTCCAACCAGAGTGATAAGGTAGATGAGACAGATGATAATGAAGAGTGGGATCTGTAGCTTGGGGTCATCTGTTAACCCCACAAGAATGAACTCAGTCACCTCGGTACTGTTTTCCATGGGGCCTAATTGGGAATTATGTGACTGATCTGCAGCAATAAGAAAACAGAATCAGAATGATAAATGGAGGGAAGAAACTGCTGAAATCAATCATCGTGTGTACTCTGTGCCTTATTTCAGTACTGCAGTAGCGTGTTTCCCAGAGTCTCTGGATCTGAAGGATGGCCATGACAATAAAACGCAGTTGTAAATTATTGATAGATGATAGAATATCCAGATAGAAGGATTTGGAGATAATGCATCCTAACCTCCTGACTTTATAGAAGAGTGAATTAAAATAAAGAGAAGAAAAGAAAAGACTCATGTAATAGTCTCAGATTAGTTGCTCAATGAGTTCAGACTCCCAATTCGAAGTTTACAGAACAATCACAAATTATTCTTTATATTATACTAGAATAGCTTATAAAATTCATATGAAATTAAATTAATTGTACTTCGACTAACTTTTTTTTATCTTTTCCATTGTGTCAAGATCAGTGGTATATGATAGGCAAAGATATTAAATAAAACATATCCTTAGTTTAAAATGATCTCAGTATAGCACAGTACACGAAATGTGTAATTTATCAAAGAATAAGAAACAGTAGAAGTTCATGTACAAGGAATAAAAACATCTAGAAAAAAGTTTTTACTTTTATTACATTAATATAGTTCTTAACTTTTGCTCTGATCTGGAGCCATGTTAAAACCATGTCAAAAGAAGCATATCCTACCTCCTCCGTGAACAGAATCAATGAACTTGAGTAGTGTGCAACATCACTCAGTCTTCATTTTTTTTCTATCAAACTGGGTTGATAATGCAAACTGGAACTCTGTAAGTTGTTAGATATTATGATTTGGACAGAGGGCTTGATTTATCTGGCATTAAAGAGGTGGATAAGATAAGATGGAGTTTCCAGATAAGGATGAAATAGAAGATTTGATAACATCACTCACGCCATTTGCTTTCCTCCCAAACTCCTTCTACTCTCATATTCTTCATATAAGTTCCTCAAATTTTTCACACAAGACTTCTATGTATTTGAGCAGCTATTCCAGCTGTGCCAAGTGAGAATACATTTATTTTCTGACTCACCTTGGATATTAACTACTGTGCTAATATTAGGCCCCAGTCCCCCTTACTCCCCAAATAAAATGAGAATAATAATATTGTCTGGAACTGAATATGCATTCAATAAATGTATCCATTTTTGGAAAATTTAAAGCGTAGATGAGTTTTACTTTTGTCCCATTATTTTTCCATTCTCAGAACCTGAAAAACTATCACAGATAAAAACAATACCATTTTTTATATATTATCACTGATGTTATAAACTATATAAGGAAATTTTTTGAAGCCTACATAAAAATCCTATTATGGAATCTTCATTTATTTTTCTAAATCAAGATTCTTTCCAAAATGGAGTCTGAAAATTTTATCTACTTTAAAATTTTAGCTAAATAATGTAGAGATAAAAATCTTTAAAAGATTAATCTTACTGGAGCAATTAAATAGTTGATCTAGTGATGAATTTTACTCAATCATTTTTATTGAGTGGCTACTATAAGCAAGGTATTGTCATATGTCATAGATACTGGAAATAAAAGGAAAATAGTAATTTCTATATTAGAAATGGAGGTAGATATAAAATAAAATGAATAGAAAATTATACAGTGTGCACAGACATTTTTAAAACACTGAGCGGGAGATAGATAAATTTAGAGATAGGTGGGTATAATTTTAAATGTGATGGTGGGAGAGATTCACCCATAAAATTAAACTTTTCAGCAAATACCTAAAAGAAACAGGGGAACAGAGCTTGAGTTTGAGGAAAGAACATTCTAGGCAAAGGGGACAGCTTATCCATGGTGCTGGGGCTTGAACATGCCAAAATTGTTCAAGGGACAGCAAGAAAACCAACAAGGTGGCAGTGGGAAAGGAAAGTTAGGTCAGAGTTACAGCAGGATGAAGCTATAATGACCTCATACATTAAAGTCATTAGACTTTTATTCTGAATGACATTGGAAAACATTAGGATTTGGCCAAAAGGTGACAAAATCTACTTTCCCTTAGGATCACTCTCTTAGATCTGTTGATGATTAAATTTAGCAAGATAAGAATGAAAAGTGCTAGAAAAATTAGGGAGCCTCTGTCATATGCCAGGTAAAAGGTGACAATTTCTTGGACTAAGATGGTAGTGAGAGGGATAATGAGAAATTATCCCCTTTGGGATATATTTCAAAAGTGGAGCCGATGAAATTTCCTGATGTATTGAAAAAGGAGCATGAGAAAAAGAGAGGTGTCAATGCTGACTGACTCTAATGTTTGCATAGTGATACACAGAATAGTATAAAAGAAGCAGATGTTTGGGAAAAGGGAGAAAAGAGATTATTTCATTGAATTTGAGATTCCTTTTAGAAATTCAAGTCTAAATGTTGCGCAAACAACTGGATAGACGATTTGGATTTTAGAGAGGAGAACTGGCTACAACAGATTAATTAATTTGAACTATGTTGGTAATTTCTAATGACGCAACGTACATATTAGCATTAATATATCATATTAAATCCACAAGACTAAACAACGTCACCCCCTCAAAAAAAGAGTTTAAACAGACAAAAATTAGAGCATTCTAATATTACAAGATCAAAAAGATGAGGAGATTGGTGGCGGGGGGAATGTGGGAGAGAAAATTGCCACCACTTGAGGTGGCCTCAAGGAAAGCACTGTCCCAGGACCCAGATTTCAATTGAACCAGGTAGGAAATGCAGACTGTCAGAGGAAACATTCAGAACATATTGGGTTATCTTGATGACCGACTATAATCTTGAAAGAGCACAGTGGAGGGATTTCAGGAGTCGGGCAGGAGAGGAAGCCAGGTCAGTAAAGGAGATATACAGAGAGGTATAGACATCATTTTGTAGGAGTCGAGGCCTGACAGCAATCTTTAGCTTCATGTTGAGTGACATCATGATAAATGTGATGATGAGATTAGTTCTATGGGTCTCAAGGCAAGGGTCGGGGTTTGAAAGGCAATTAGACAGGTGAGGATCATGACGAAGTATGGAGAATTCTGGGCAGAATTCACTCCTGCTATTAGTGCTCTGGAAGAAATTTTTTATCCCTTTAAGACCTTACAAGTCACCACGACTTAATTCCAAAGACCCTACCACATAACTGTGGAGTTGAGGTGTGTGTTAGTAATTAATGAAAAGTCGAGGCCTGACAGCAATCTTTAGCTTCATGTTGAGTGACATCATGATAAATGTGATGATGAGATTAGTTCTATGGGTCTCAAGGTAAGGGTGGGGGTTTGAAAGGCAATTAGACAGGTGAGGATCATGACGAAGTATGGAGAATTCTGGGCAGAATTCACTCCTGCTATTAGTGGTATATGTGGGCTACTTACTCAGAACAGGGTAACTTAAAAGACTCTTGGTTCCTTAAAAGACTGCTCACTTAAACCAATAGCACAGATGCAGATAGCTCAAATTCTGGAAAAAACAACAACAACAACAACAATGTGCTGGGAATCATTTCAACTTTTTTTTACTAACTTTCTTCTCCACATATGAAATCTTAGGTTTTAATCTAACATCTTCCTAGAGAAAAAAAGAAAGTTAAAACTTGTTTAGTCTTGAAAAGAGATTAAGAATTACAATGGTTCTTCAAGGCATTTATTGCTCTCCTATCTTTCTTTCCTCCACACATAGAAACTTCTTATAGAATGAACCACCAGACGGTACAAACTAAAAAATGCAATCTTCCTGACAAAATGCTCTCTGCTCCCAATACAAATCTCATGTGCTCTCCAAAGAATAACACAAGTTCCCAAGCTTCTTTGAAGACTTCCCAGCTCCTTCCTCTTCAGATACAATTATGCCACTATAATCAATAGAATTTATCACTTTGTTACTGTAAAAAAATTTTAATTTTATTATAAATTATCGTTTTTTATAATGATAGTGGAAGTCATGTTTCACAGTGACTTAAGCTGTAATAGACGTGATTTATTGAGCATTTGGTGTGCTCCCATCACCAAGCTAGAGTCTGTGCTACTGAGTTAATCCTCATATATCGTGTGAGATGTTATCCCCAATTAACAGGTAGGAAAACTGAAGATTACTGACATTTAGTTACTTGCTTAAGGCTGAAGAAAGTTGCAGAGCTGGGATTTTAAAGCCAAGGTACTTTGAATCTAAGTCTTAGCTCTTTATCATGAAGAAATATTACTTTAAACTTTTTACATTTAACCTAAACTGGACACAACAAAATAACTCATTGAGTTGACTTATCAATTGACTAAGCGATTCAATCTATCATTGGGAGTCAATGTGAATAATTAAAAAGCACACACTTGGGAATCAAATATACCTAACAGTTTGTGTGATATTGTGCAAATAACCTTCCTTTCTGGACTTTAGTCAAATAACAAGAACCGGGTCCACAAAAGTTTACAACACACTTCAACCCTCAAAAAAATCTCAAATAGTGAAAAGGGCACATAACTCTTTAGTAATACCGACCAATAAGCCATAAAAAGAGCTGAATGCTTCCATTCCTTCATTCACTCCTTGAACCTGTGGGGTACCAGGTTGTGTGCTAATTTCCAGGCCTACAATGATGCACAAGACACATTCTCTGACCTCAGGATACTTAGTGGATTGAGACAGAAATGTAAACTTACGAATATTATGCATTATTCTAATTCTCCATTCCCAAGAGAGAGCACTGTTTTCTCATTTGCTTAGACCTGTGTAATGATAGTATAAATTATCTCATTTACACTATAATCCATCAGTCTTCCCATGTAATAGTTAATAAATGAAGTGTCCAACACCAGAAAAATCTCTAATGGCAGAATTAGAACTTACGGTCAGATCTATTTATTTCCATAATTAGTTATCTCTTTTGTAATTTAACAAATTTCCATTTTAGTTCACTTTGTAACTGATTTCTCAGCCTGATTTTTCTATTATTTAAATATTAATTAGCTCCCATATTACAATAAAATTTTACA